ATTTATTAAAGATGAGGCTATTTATATAATTAAGAAATATTAATAGTAAATTTTCTAATATATAGTAAAATAATATTAATATACTTATCTATAATAATATTTTAATAAAAATGAGGCTATTTATATAATTAAGAAATATAACAGTAAATTTTATAATATATGTAGTACTTATTTATAATAATATTTTATTAAAAATGAAACATATATAAATATGGAGGACTATTTGATAAATAAAAAAGTTCAACTTCATTTTGGAGTAATGAGTTGGTTTACTCCATATTTGGAGTAATCATATTTGTTACTCCATTTTGGAGTGAGTTTTGGAGTAGGATTGGAGAAGATTTTACTGCAAAATGGAGTTTGGAGTGGGTTTTGGAGTGGGGTTGGAGATGCTCTTAGGGATAAGTTCTAATATAGTACTATTTTAGTCAATATGTTGAAGAAGAATAAAGGAGTCGTATCTTTTGTTTGGTAATTAAAGGAATGATATCTAAATGCATGAATAGATTGGAAAATATTCTCTTAACCCTAATATGCAGATTTGTTTGACAACTTTATTCTGTAGATTATACGCCGCCAATTATTAAACATGTTTATTAGCGAACAAGAATTTGTCAAATACTCTTTTTAAAACCTTGCTTTCATCTTCTTTTGAGTTTTATAAGATCTTTGGGCATTGGTAGTATATTAGTATTTAGCAGATAGTTTATGTATATAGCTAAGGTAGGTATTTGATAATTATTTAGCTGAAAATGCGAACTGGATTTAGATCTAATCTTTTGCTTAGCCTATTTGATCTCTGGTTATCAAGTTGTTTTTATCCAAGAAAATCAAGATTACCAATAAACAGTACTCTATATTATTAATATCGTTTCTGTGATGGGAAAATAATAGACCGGGAATCTGCAGTGTCTTGAGATCTATATTTTCAACATACTTTTTAACAAAGCTTTGATTAAATATAAAGCTTATTATTTTATGTACAATTATAGACTTCTGAGTCCAAGATTTGCGTGTATATATCGTATTTTATTAGCAGGATGATAAAACATTCGAGATGGTCGCATAATACTTCAGATATTCGCATCGATTTTTTTTTTAAAAAAGGAAATTAAACTGATTTCTTGAAGTTTTTAATACAGTGTATGTCTTTTTCGCTATATATATGCATATCTTGGGATGATTCGAATATTTTCACAAACGGTTTAGAATACAAATAATTAATATTACTCATATTGTCACTAGATATGAACTTATATATGTAAATTTGGGAATTATACACCTAAACCAATTTAAAAAAAAATTAGTGTGTTGTTTAAAACCCAACATATAACAATGAAAAAACTATCATAAACTAACATAATTGTGTTAAAAACAACTAACAACATTAAATCACAAATTTAGCTTATACATATTATCCGTCTTTAGTTATGTTTGGTTATTTATAAAGTGTATAACATTTTTATTTACATAAAAGCTTATCGCGATCCTCCTCAGTGAGCCATGCCGCAAACCCCTCGAAGGACAACCCGTACTTGGTGATAATTAGGCTCGGTTTGTAGTGTAACTAATTAGTAAATATACACATCAACTAGATTGTACATAGCAAAAACAAAGAAGATGTATGATGATTGTTATAATTTAGTTCTTGTACTATTCAAG